AGAGTGCAGCAAGAAGTGTAATGAAAACAATAACACCAACACATAAAAATACAATTTATGCCCTTTTATCAAGCAAAGAAAAAGTTGGTTAACGTTTGAAAAGGGAGCAGTAATGTAAATTTATTGACAATTTTATTGTAATAATTAGATGTTTACACAGTCTGGACATTGTGGCTAAATCACTTGCAGCATGTTTATTTGCAGGGAGCTGTTTTCTGGGCACTGCAGTGGTTCATTAAGAAGACATACTGTATTAGGATTCAAAGAAACAGCTCCCGTTCTCTCCTCTGTTTTATATATTTTTAAAATACAGCAAATAATGAAGCAAAACACAGAATTTCCTTCATAAGGAAAACAACTTCCCTCGTGGCCTGAAAATGGCTTGAAAATAAATCTCACATTGAATATCTTAATACACAGCATAAGAAAGACCACCTCTAATGACTGTAACTAGCTTTTAATACCAAGAGTGTAAATGGCAATCTGTTTTTGACTAAGAATAAATTACAACCAGTACCAAGGCAGCTCTTGCTTCACTCTTTTCTTTTAAAACCCAAATGAAAAGCAAAACAAACTCCGCAGTATTTGTTTTAGATGAGAGACTTCTGAGTGTGTTTTGGAAGAGAAAAACCTCGTTTAGAGAGAAATATTTCTCTTATGCAGCTTCAAAGCAGATTAATGGATTAAAGTTGTACACTTGAATAATTTGACTATATTTAAAACCTCCACATGGCTCTCTTCCATTATTTTTTGTGTTTCTATATTAGTCTAGAATGTGTTGCTCTGAGATGGTTTTTATGTTTCCAAATTGAGCTAAAATGGAAATGACAAATTTTCAGTTATGCAAAAACAGCAATGAGGTGCCAGAAAAAAATATATTGTGAACAAAATAATCTTTAGGAAAGATATAAAATGAGAATAATTTTATAGCGTGAAATGGATTCAATAACAGAAGCATATTCAGAGCAATTATATCAATTTTTAAAATTTAGAAACTGTTTAAAAATTAAGATACTAAATGCTAAGCTACATTATGTTTCCAGCCTTACTATACTTCCATTAGAATTAAGTAGTAATCAATATAGAGTATTTATTGCTATGAACTACAGCACCAGAGGAAGGAGATGCTGCTCTCAGAGCGCGCAATTCTCCTCCGTAATCATTTAGGAAGAGGAAAAAAAGTTTTAGAAACAGACTGATCTTTACTTTAATCACAGTTGCCACAATTCATTGTACTTCCACTATTTTCTGTACCAAACAGAATGTAAAGATGGTAATAAAAATACATGATGAAAATAATAGTTCCCCAGGTGAAGTCAATAAGACCAAGATGACAAGAAAAGCTTTCATTTTTAGGAAGCAAAAAATAACAGGCACCCAGAATGACTTTTTTTTTTCAAGTTGATAGAATTGATTAATGATTCAAAATAACCAAGGAATCAAGTTGTAGAGCATTATTTTAAAGACAAGTGCTAAAAATTAACTCTATGCTAAAATGACGTTATTAGATGTGTTCTTGGAATTACGTACTGCATAACACTGTAGATTACAACTGGGAGGCTAAAATGTGGAATCCTCATGACTGCATGATTACAAATATATTTAATAATCTTAAATAAACTCAAACTTACTTTGATATCTACACTTCTAAGTAAGTCAAGACATGAGAAATGAATTTTAAAAAATCAGATCATGAAAGCCATTATTATTTGAAGGAATATGCTCAATTTTTTAGATAATTTAAATTATTTAAGAGTCCTTTGCATTTTTTATTAGCTTTGCCTAAAGTTATAACATTAAAGCATTAAGGTTACATGTAATGAGTTTCTGGTTTGCCCTGATTTCTAGTCCCATATTTTCATAAAGTACAAACCAAGATTAGTACTATATTACAAGGCTCATTCGATCATATAAAATTGTCTTATACCTAGACACGCATCTAAAAAAAAATTAACTACGAAGGGTATGCACACACAAATATCCACAGATACCCATCTGAAAGAAAAGTTCATTAGGGGAGTAGATATTGGGCAAAGGGAACCTGTACAAAAAATTTCCTTCCTGTATCTGTTTTTTTAAAAAAATTCTCTGCCAAGTCCAACCAACTACAAACAACCTATATCTAAAGCCTATTATTAGCAGATTCATGGTTTTAAATATCATGAGAAAAGTTTATTCAGAAATTTTATAGACAGAAGTAACATCTCTACAATTGAAATTTCCATTAACAAAAATCAATCACATTTTAAAAGCCAATGGCTTCATACAAAAATGCACTTAAGATCATAGAAGAACCCCAAACTTCCCTAGGATCAATTCTTATTATAAAATAACAACAAAACTAACATTAATCCAAGAAGTATTACAGTCAAAACTGAGTATTCAAATCCAACCCCGCCCCATGCTTGCATTTAGTGGGAAAGAGAAATTTTTATTTTGACTATTATTTCATTTCAGTTCTCCTATCTTCAAATGCAGGAAAGTCATATTTAACACTGTCATGGATTTTTCAAGTCCCTCCAAATATAATCTCACTTGAGCCTAACTTGAACCCTGTGAGGGAGGAGAGCAGGTGCGGCTGGCATTCTGTAGGCAGGGAAGTTTAGTCTCAGGCCAACACTTTAGGGAATGGAACTGGAATTTTGGGTGACTCCAGCTCCTGTGCTCTTCCTACTGCTCACTCTAAGCTGAGCACTGCGCTGGCATGGTCCCCCACTGAGAATGAGTCCTCATTCCTAAAGGGGTAAGGGGTCACTCAAAGCTTCCAGAATGTGCTCTCCCATGATTGGCAGCAACTCCTGTAAAGGATTTGTTGGTGTTATTCATATACAATTCTGTTTCCTTCACACTTAATTCAGTAGCTATAAGAATTTTGTAAATTTTGATTAAAAATCTTCTTGTCTGAACGATACTGAAACCCTTGCACCTTCTCCCCTCCCCTGGTACATTTTTAAATGTGTGTGCGTGTGTGAGAGAGAAAAAAATGCCCTTCTTGTCTTCGAGATAATCCTCTAGGTTCTAAAGTAACAAAATCAGAGAATCTTTCAGATCTTTGGACACTATCAGTAGCTCAACCAGCTAAGAACTGCATGGAGGAACGGCTACCTGAGGCTGCTCTGAGCCTTCCTGTGTTTATCTCCTGTCTGTTTTATTTAAACTATGAAATCTACTTGGGAAGGACGTGTCGAATCCTATATTTGAAATGCCCCTTGCACACTGTTGGCACTTAAATGTAATTATTCAAAATGGAATCATTTAATTAGATAGGAAGAGAAATAGCGAGC